AAGATTCTCCCCAGAGCCTGAAAGTTTAAGGGAATGAATAACTCCTCCCTTCTCAGGCAGAGTCCCAAGACACAAGACCACTTGCGCCAGCAGCCTGCATCCGCAAGATAGCAAAAGCAGGAAGAGAGCTGCCTGGAAAACACCTACCCTGGCCAAAAGACATGTATCCCTGAAGATTAAGAAAGAGGACATCTGGGTACTAAGTAGCAGTCACGTCAGACTGAGACACTTCCTGTTTACAGAGGGCTATAAAACCCCCCTGTCCCATCCTCACTTGGGGATGAAGCCATTTTAGGCCTCAGCCCGCCTGCACCCAGGCGCTCATTAAAACAGCAGGTTGGGCCCCACTGTGGCTCACGCCTGTAATCCCAGCACTTTGAGAGGCCAAGGCAGGCAGATCACGAGGTCAGGACATCGAGACCATCCTGGCTAACACGGTGAAACCCCGTCTCTACTAAAAATACAAAAAATTAGCCAGGCACGGTGGCGGGCTCCTGTAGTCCCAGCTACTCAGGAGGCTAAGGCAGGGGAATGATGTGAACCTGGGAGGCAGAGCTTGCAGTGAACTGAGATAGCGCCACTGCACTCCAGCCTGGGCGAAAGAGGGAGACTCTGTCTCAAAAAAATAAAAATAAAATAAAATAAAATAAAATAAAATAAAATAAAATAAATAAAATACAGCATGTTACTCCACATCGCCTTGTGTTGTGTTGTTTGTTGGCGTGGCTCTCTGGGCTCAAACCAATACAAGAACCTTTCAAGCAGTATAGTCCTCAGTGTCTTGATCCTCCAAATAACTCTCTTCTAATTCCTCCTGACCACAAAAACAAAAAAAAGCACTTATACTCTAGGATGGCTGATTCCAGCCCAGTGGCCTGGCAAGGGTGAATTACACTTTGCATATCACACTCTTGATATTTGTGTGTGCTAGCATAAGAATTATAATTGAAACAGGGATTTAAGTATCTCTTGTCTAGGTGCCTACCTTCCTTGGACTCAGGTCAAATTTATTAAAGGAAGTTTTGTTTCTAGATAGGTTGTTTGAAATAAAACAACAGTATGTTCAAGTAACAGTGTACCTACAGCTTTTAACTAAAATAGAGGACTTGGGTCCTGAAACAATTTCTTTTGATTTTCAGGTATTTTATCTATTAAAAGGGAGATAAAGCATTAGTTCATAGGGTAGTTATATGTTTAAATGTGATCATGTATGTTAACTACCTTACATGTATTCAAATGTGTTTTGAAATCTAACGTCTACATTTTGATAGTTTAACTGTTCTACATAAGAGACTTACAACAGGCATTAAATATTGTTTGGCATTTTCATCTATCTGTATCTGTATCTTAATCTACAATGAGCTTAACTTTAAGTGTAGCATAAAACAGAATCTTCAATAAAGTAATATTAGGAATGATATCCAGTTATTTTATGCACCTATAAAGTTACCTATAAATTCTTATGAATATTTTTCTAAAGTAAAATTTTGATTTTACTTTATAGATGAGAAGCAACAAAGCAACATTTATAACAACTTCTCCCATTCAGGCATTTTTTTCCCACCAAATGCGTATATTGATATACATACACATAAAATATTCCTGTGTTACACTGTCATCATATCACTTTCATAAACTATTAACCGACAGAACTTTTTTTTCAAGTATTACAGTTGCATTGATTTTGATTTTGAAAATATACATCCAACTATCCATTGCTTCTATGGAAAAGGACGGGTAACTCTTAGCACCAACCATAAGAGCATTAACGTCAACCGTAAAAGGAAACATCACTGACCTGGGGCAAGGGCAGGCGCAGGGGAAGATAAAGGGTAAAGAATATTATCTGGGGAAAGAGTCCAACTCCAGAGATTTAACTAGTTCTCATATAGTCTGCATAATAGTATCTCAACTCAAAGGTAATGTATCTGATTACAGTTATACTAGGGGGAAATAGGACAGAGTTAATGAATCATTTTGTTATTTTGAGAGATTTTACATTTGTAGTTGCTTGCATTACTAACAAGTAACTTTTAGACACCAAATAACATGTCTACGACTTCATTTGTGCGTTTACTGAATACTTACTATAACTAGGAAGTATTGAATGTCACTGTTTGGAGTGCTTGGTAACTATCATCTCACTTAGTCTTCACAATCTAATTTCATCCAGGAGGTAGGTAGTATAGATGAGGAAAATGAGATGTCAAAATTTCAGTAACAATCCTGAGGTCACACATGTAAAAAATGATAGTTTTGAATGCATAAACCATAATCTTAATCATTAAATTCCCGTGAGGCTTCTGCAATGGATCTAACACCTGGGTGTCAGTGCTGCTGGTTCATAGACCACACTTTAAATATCATGGCAGTAGACCATGTGAAGTGTCCATTTACACACTATTTTACCTGAAGCCAAAACTACATTTCAAGGACAAGTTGGTTCATACTTGGTTCTGTGATATTAATAACAACTGAAATATCTGATATGTCAGCCTCATAGAATTGCTATGAGATTTTCTGGGCCTTGCTAATAAATTTAGACTCAACTAATGTTCAGAAATTATGTGAGATAACTTTATAAAATGTAGTTTAACGTATAACGGTCAACAGTGTTTTGCAGTTATAACACAATTCTTCTTAAATATTGAGTATTTTGTCTTCACAATATACCTAAGTGATAAAGTATAATCACATTCTTCTTAAATATTGAGTATTTTGTCTTCACAATACACCTAAGTGATACAGTATAATCACTAATACTGAGGAAACAGAAACCCAAGACAAGTGGCTACCACCACAGGTCACTTAGGCAGCAGGACAACACACATCCAGGCCTTCCCATGCCACATCCAAATCTTTTCTTCTCTTCCATTAGCTGACCTTGACAATGGAGTGTATTCCACTAATTAACTAAAACTAAATAAAGAAAACTGCTACTCAGCTACTGAAACAGCTAAGATAGCCACATTCTGATTTTGATTTTAATAAATAGATAATCAAGGCCAAAGTGATTTGACAACACTGAGTAATTTTCAGTTGTTTTACATTAACATAAACCTTATTGAATACAAAACATGGCTGCATGTATCGTTTTATTATGCTGCTAAAAGCAAAATACAATTCAAGGACTTTTTTTTAGTCTTATCGACTCCCTTAACCCAAGGTCACCTATGGGAGATGTATCATTTATATCCCAGATCTGTAGGTTTGGTGTTAGCTGGAGGAGATTGGTCATTTCAACTCTTATATTTATTTTAATGGAACTAAATATGTTACAACTACTGTTTTCCTCATATAAGGATGTTCTACAATTTTATAAAATCATACTCAGAGTTCAGAGTTGATCTCTAGATGTGAAGTGTACTTAGCATCTTTAGAGGGCTAATATTTTCATGGAAAATAAAATTCCTCTAAGTTACTGTAGAGACAAAGTAATGAAGATAAATCAAGAAATGCTGTCAGTCTCTAGAAGATGAAAATGCCAGAATCTCTACGTGAGAAACAAAACCTCAAAATAGACAGCAAAGATGCTTATCAAGTCCAAGCCCTATAATCATGTTTTATGATTTATAATATTATTTTTCTGACAATTGGCAAAATAGCTCCATTCTTGAAAGAAATGCCTAACAGGCACTTCATCCTCATTGTGTTCACCCGATAAAGTTTGAAATGATTTTAATAATAGTGAATTTATTTTGGAAAATTGTATTTTCTCTTCAAGTGTACACATACCTCTAACACTGAAGACTGGGTTTTTCAGAGCCATACAAACACTGTAAAGGCTATGGGATCATCAAGTTTTACTGAATAAATTTTGCAAGAGGCTCTCCATGGGAGTTGAGAACTGTGGTGCTCCAATCACGCTGAGCAGGAAACCCTAATATCCCCCTCATTACATGATAGTAGGTGGTTAGAATGGTGAGTGTTCCTGTATGACCAATCCCTTCAACCCCTAACATGGGTTAATTATTTCATATTACCCGTCAGGATTAGTAAAGCAAGCATCACAGTATCTGGCTAATTATTAAAAGAAAAAAAAGGTCAGGTAGAGAATCATCAATGACTAATAGTTTTTTCCTCTCATTATGTTTTGCTGGTGTCTATTTCAGAAGATACGGATGGCATAAAAGTGAGTAGATAATATGGTTTCTGCACCCTTCTCTCACTTGTCATTGGCCGTTGCTTCCAGACATGCTGGTCTTTCTATCCTCAGTTCCTCAAAGGCATCAAGCTCCTCTCAGCTCTTGGCCTTTAGACTTAGGGGTCCCTTTGCCCACAATAAACAGCCTCAGCCTTACTCCTGGGTTCGCTAGTGATCTATGTTTTTATGGTGGTACATTTCCTTCAGACCACTTGCAATGAGCAATCCATCTAACTCATTTTGCTTGGCCTCCAGTAGTTCAATATTTGTTGAATAATGGTTCATGAGCAAGAATGTAGACTCCTGAGGCATTGCATATGTTTACGTCCCTTAAAATAACTAGTGAATAACACCTTTGCATATGAAGGCTATTAATATGTTGTGAATTCTTAAATTTAAAATATTTCACAGGAAGAAATGGAGAAATATCCAGATGGGATTGTGAATAAATTCAATCCTAAATGAAAAAAAGTCTTCTCCAGTGAGAATATACCTAAGTTTGACCTTTTGATTAAGTGTCGTGAGTAAAGTATTTATGGGTTATGACTTGCATGGATTTATTACCTAGCTTCAGGAGGTGGATTCTTGATTTCCCTCTGCATATATGTATTAGAACGGTAAAACACATAGGGATGGCTACTTTTAATTTTATAGGTCATTCAGAAATTACATCTTGTATAAAGTAAAGATTTCTTAGAGTTTTGGTTATTCACCACTGCAATTTGGAATGTTTGGTGTAATTTTAAAATTCCTAAGTTTTTGCCCCTTTCTTCTATTCATCCTTTTGACCACTGAAGCATTGCTGCATGGATTTGTGATATTTAAATAATGAGAAATGAGAGGCAAGGTACTTTTATTTAATACTTTTTATTATTTAATAACTTAAGTTTATCACCTTGAAAACTGCAATATATCAGTAACAATCAACATTCAGGTAAAACATCACCACACATTCTTCTCTTCAACAAATAAATGCTAACTTGTGGTTCAAAGTCAAAAGATGTAATTTCTGAGAAGGCATGTTTAAATTCATCATCTAGGGATATTCTGGAAATATGCTATGGATGGAACTTTTATCAACTGTCCAGGAAGAAATGTATTATTACTTCCTAAAAATGTTTGAACAAAAGCTATTATTTTGAATGATGTATTCTCCATCAGTAATTGCTGTTTAGACATCAGAAACCAGCTCACACAGACTCACGCTTACACATCTTTTACTCTCCTTTATAACAAAGACAAATTGAAAAATGAAATAAGATATTCCACCCCCAAAAGGTCAATAATCTTTTTCTCTAAAAAAATCTATTCTGCAAAACATTTTTTATGGCTCCTCAGAACTTAGGATAAAGACTCTATCCAATAAAGAGGCTTCAAAACCTAAGCTATGTTCCATTGTTTGCAGTTACCTTGGACTTTAACTAGATGTGCAAGTTGACTTCTGACCATGGGGAATCCTCTCCATGACTGGATTATGGATTGTTGAGGCCATGGCAGATAACCAGTTCCACAGAAGCAACTTCATGTTTTTCTGAGGAAGATTCATAGCACTGTGGAACAAGGAATATCAATAAGCGATGCCACAAGAGACTGCAAATGGGGTTAACAAAATACAACCCTCAAAAATGAACTCTGATGGTGGAAAAATCTACGAGGTAAAATATTGTTGAAAAAAAATACAGGGATTGAAAATGGCTTCAGTTATGTTAAGAGCACTGGTGAACATTCAGTAGCGTTAGAATGTGCTTTCTTATGCATGTAACAAACTATCTCTTCATGCCAAGCTCATTAAGTGGCTAAGTTGTATAAATTTGTTCAAAAACAAACGCTTTTTCAGCATTTATAGATTTTTTTAAAAAACCAGCAACTTTGTTTTCTAGAGGGGAAAACACCAAGTGAAAATATTCTAATGGTAGTAATAAATTACTTGGCTTTTAATCAGTTCCAGTAAAATCATATTTGAAAGCTCCCCCACCACCACCCATAGTCATACACATACGCATCAAATTTTAAGCATTTTATAATGGCCAAAGAAGGTGTTTACATCTGTTTATTAATGGAACTCACTTTTTAATCAGTTTTTAATAAATTGCTAATCCAGTTTAGCCTCAAATCAGTTCCATCCCTTTCCTCAATCCCTTTTCTGATGTCTAACAGTTAAAGTCCTGTGCAGTGAACAGGGATTCCTGTGGCACTTTGGGAATTATCTGCTCTGGGTTTAAAAAAGTGCAGCTTATAAAGTTCTCTCTCTTTTCTTCAGCCTCTACGAAGATTGATAAAGGTATTTCCAGAGGCAAATGAAATTCTTCCCCTCTCTGCTCGTTCTCCTCCAGGACCTCCTCTTCCCCTTCTACCTCCTCCTCTTCCTCCTCCTCCTCCTCCTCCTCCACATATTCAGCCTCTTCGACCTCTTCCTCCTCCTCATCTTCGACCTCTTCCTCTTCCTCTTCCTCATCTTCCACCTCTTCTTCCTCATCTTCGACCTCTTCTTCCTCATCTTCAACCTCTTCTTCCTCCTCCTCGCTCACCTCCTTTGCATCACACACCTCCTGGTCATACTCCTCCTCCTCATCATTTTTCTTCTCCTCTTCCTCCACCAGCAACGGGGCAAGAGACTGGTTTTCCTCTGGTTTAGGACTGAATGCTAGAGAGGGATTCTGCACAAAGCCATACAGAGCTTCCTGCAGTCCCCAGGTTTCCTCGCTGCCGCCAGGGGGCGCGTCGTTTCCGGAGGATCTGGCCGGGGAGGCCTCGCCGCTCACCGGGGCCTTCTGCGCCCTCAGCGCCTCCTGCTGACGCTCCAGCTTCTCCTGCTGCCGCATGTCCTCGTAGATCTGGTTCATGATGAATTGGGTGGTGTTGGGCGGCGCTCGCATGCCAGGCTCTCTCCACTCGTACAGCTTGACCGGCCGCGGCAGCGTGCTCACATTCGCTGGCGGGCTCCGCGGGGAGGAGCGGCGAGGGTGGTGGCGCAGGCCGCGACCCCTGCGGCCCCAGCGCTTCTTCCTGCCTGGGGGCCTCGCCCAGCTAGGGTTCCAGGACCCGTTCCAGCAGGAGCAGCAGCAAAAGCAGAGAGGGTGCAGGCCATACACCCGAAACACTTGCACTGGGCAATGGAACTTCCGGAATCCTGGAGGGGGTGGGCGCCAGGGCCCTCCCCAGCACCCCCAGTTAAAGCACACGGGTGGTTGGAACCAAAAGCCCGGGCCGTGCTGTGGCTTCGGCTGCTTCCTTGGGGGCCCATACTCGGTCTTGGGGCTATAGCGGTGCGGCCTGTTGTACACTGGAGGGCCCTGGCGCCTTCGATGGCAGGACGACCAGGAGCTCAAGGAGGCCGAGTGTGCCCAGCCACCGCCGCCCAGGTTCAGAGGGTCTTCCCTTGTGTCGAGGGTCTGAGTCATCGTTCGGGGAGCTCTGAGAGGTCTAGATGGTAGCGACCCAGAAGCTGTCGTCAAGTTTTGCCAGATAGGACGGTCAGAAGAGCCTCGTCTCGTCACCCTGTCTCTCCACGCAGTGCCACGTGTCTACCCCTGGGATCACGTTTTCTCTCCAGGAGGCCGCTCTCTTCCTGGTTTGCGAGCTCTTCCGTAGTAATCGCTTGTCCTTCGCACCTGGGTTGTCTCACCCAGGTGTGCTGGGTGGGACTGGGGCTGGGTAAGGATGGTGGGGGAGGAAGGTGTTGGCAGGCGACACGCAGTGAGACCCACTCCCGGGTCCCCCCCACACCCGGCTCTGCTGAGGCACGGGCTGGGGCCGGGGGAGGCAGGGGTTGCGCAGTTACCTGCTGCTACCTCTCAACCCAGGTGCTTCACTGTCACCGTCCTGGCAGGACTGGGGTGGCGAGGGCAGCGGCAGCCTTTAAATACTGGCTGTGGTCTCCCGCGTGCCCACCGCGTTCTTGGTCGCCCAGGGCAACAGCCAATTGGGGTCGAAATCGTCCTCCCTGTGTGCAAGACCGGGTTCTGGCTGGAACCAGGCTCTAGGTGAACATTCGCAGGGGGCTTGTGACGTAGCGTTTGGGGGAGGCGAAGAGGGACTCAGGCTGGGTTTGTGCTGCTCAATTCAAGCACGTCTGGAGGCAGTTTATCCGAAAGCTTTGTGTCACCTTGAGACAGGGGTTTAGAAGATGGGCCTTCATCTGAACCCGGTGGGGGCAGGAGAACTTGAGTTTTGAAAACCCCACATTCTACACCTTTGGAGGGTAAAATGACACAAGCCAGGGTTGGGATGCCTATTTTTACATCAAGCAGGCAAATGAAATTCTTCCCCTCTCTGCTCGTTCTCCTCCAGGACCTCCTCTTCCCCTTCTACCTCCTCCTCTTCCTCCTCCTCCTCCTCCTCCTCCACATATTCAGCCTCTTCGACCTCTTCCTCCTCCTCATCTTCGACCTCTTCCTCTTCCTCTTCCTCATCTTCCACCTCTTCTTCCTCATCTTCGACCTCTTCTTCCTCATCTTCAACCTCTTCTTCCTCCTCCTCGCTCACCTCCTTTGCATCACACACCTCCTGGTCATACTCCTCCTCCTCATCATTTTTCTTCTCCTCTTCCTCCACCAGCAACGGGGCAAGAGACTGGTTTTCCTCTGGTTTAGGACTGAATGCTAGAGAGGGATTCTGCACAAAACCATACAGAGCTTCCTGCAGTCCCCAGGTTTCCTCGCTGCCGCCAGGGGGCGCGTCGTTTCCGGAGGATCTGGCCGGGGAGGCCTCGCCGCTCACCGGGGCCTTCTGCGCCCTCAGCGCCTCCTGCTGACGCTCCAGCTTCTCCTGCTGCCGCATGTCCTCGTAGATCTGGTTCATGATGAATTGGGTGGTGTTGGGCGGCGCTCGCATGCCAGGCTCTCTCCACTCGTACAGCTTGACCGGCCGCGGCAGCGTGCTCACATTCGCTGGCGGGCTCCGCGGGGAGGAGCGGCGAGGGTGGTGGCGCAGGCCGCGACCCCTGCGGCCCCAGCGCTTCTTCCTGCCTGGGGGCCTCGCCCAGCTAGGGTTCCAGGACCCGTTCCAGCAGGAGCAGCAGCAAAAGCAGAGAGGGTGCAGGCCATACACCCGAAACACTTGCACTGGGCAATGGAACTTCCGGAATCCTGGAGGGGGTGGGCGCCAGGGCCCTCCCCAGCACCCCCAGTTAAAGCACACGGGTGGTTGGAACCAAAAGCCCGGGCCGTGCTGTGGCTTCGGCTGCTTCCTTGGGGGCCCATACTCGGTCTTGGGGCTATAGCGGTGCGGCCTGTTGTACACTGGAGGGCCCTGGCGCCTTCGATGGCAGGACGACCAGGAGCTCAAGGAGGCCGAGTGTGCCCAGCCACCGCCGCCCAGGTTCAGAGGGTCTTCCCTTGTGTCGAGGGTCTGAGTCATCGTTCGGGGAGCTCTGAGAGGTCTAGATGGTAGCGACCCAGAAGCTGTCGTCAAGTTTTGCCAGATAGGACGGTCAGAAGAGCCTCGTCTCGTCACCCTGTCTCTCCACGCAGTGCCACGTGTCTACCCCTGGGATCACGTTTTCTCTCCAGGAGGCCGCTCTCTTCCTGGTTTGCGAGCTCTTCGGTAGTAATCGCTTGTCCTTCGCACCTGGGTTGTCTCACCCAGGTGTGCTGGGTGGGACTGGGGCTGGGTAAGGATGGTGGGGGAGGAAGGTGTTGGCAGGCGACACGCAGTGAGACCCACTCCCGGGTCCCCCCCACACCCGGCTCTGCTGAGGCACGGGCTGGGGCCGGGGGAGGCAGGGGTTGCGCAGTTACCTGCTGCTACCTCTCAACCCAGGTGCTTCACTGTCACCGTCCTGGCAGGACTGGGGTGGCGAGGGCAGCGGCAGCCTTTAAATACTGGCTGTGGTCTCCCGCGTGCCCACCGCGTTCTTGGTCGCCCAGGGCAACAGCCAATTGGGGTCGAAATCGTCCTCCCTGTGTGCAAGACCGGGTTCTGGCTGGAACCAGGCTCTAGGTGAACATTCGCAGGGGGCTTGTGACGTAGCGTTTGGGGGAGGCGAAGAGGGACTCAGGCTGGGTTTGTGCTGCTCAATTCAAGCACGTCTGGAGGCAGTTTATCCGAAAGCTTTGTGTCACCTTGAGACAGGGGTTTAGAAGATGGGCCTTCATCTGAACCCGGTGGGGGCGGGAGAACTTGAGTTTTGAAAACCCCACATTCTACACCTTTGGAGGGTAAAATGACACAAGCCAGGGTTGGGATGCCTATTTTTACATCAAGCACAAGTGTCTTTACATGTACTATATCACTTCTTTTGTATTAATGGAAAATTAATGGAAAATAACTGGAGAAAGAAAACTTGGCCCAACCTCTTACCTTCTGGCCGGTGCCAACTCTTCTTACTCCGGGGAAATGGAATTCATAATACATAAAACAAGGCCACAAACATTTATTATTGCATGTGCTTCCTGACACATAATCCTGTCATCTACCCTGAGAGGTAGGCGTATCTTATCACCTGTCACAGATGAGGGAACTGAGGGGTTAATTTCCCCATGGTTGTGGGGCTAATACATTTTCGGGCTACTATTTAAGCCTAAGCCTGTTTGATCCTAAAGTTAGATTCTTAATGGCATTGCTGTATGTTCTACCAAACCACCAGTAGGACCCTTGTGATAACTAAATGACATGCATTTGGGAAGGTACTTTGTTATTGGTAATATGCCATACATATGTACCTCAATTAAACAAATATTATTATTACCAGGATGAATACCACAGGTTTGTCCTTGGGAAGAGGAATATTCAGATTGTTTTTCCTTTTGTCCCTTCACTGACCATACAGTCTGTACACAGGAAGCCTTTCAAGCACTGTGGTTAAGCATATGGGTTTTAATTTAAATAAATGGGGTTCAACTTCAACTCACCAATTATTAATCGCTGTAAGCCTCAGTTTCCTTACCCATACCACGATTATACTACCTTTTCCATACAGTTGTGTAAAGAGTTAAATGCATATAGCAGGTCCTCTAATAATGTTTTGCTCAATATCATTTCCTTATAACATTGCTGAGGCAAAACAACCACCATAACAAAACCACATTTCATTATATGTCTTTTCATTTAAAAGTAGCAGTTTCCAAGAACCTATGATGCAAAGTGAGGGACTTACTGTAATTCCTTAAAGCACTTAGTGCAGGTACCCTGTAAATACTCAGTAACTGTTAACCGTCATCCTTATATTTAAATACTTAATGACTTACAAAAGAGGTGATATCGTACATGTAAAGACACTTGTGCTTGATGTAAAAATAGGCATCCCGACCCTGGCTTGTGTCCTTTTCTTGTCCTTCTTTGTAAAACGTCAAGGAAAGTGCTACCATACTTGATCCTAGAGAAAACCGTCTCAGTGTATATCCCTTTATTACTTTTCTGTGCTGAGTGGAATTGCACAAAATGGAACACTGCCCGCTGGGAACTTCGGTCTATATAAGGCTCCATTAAATGCCAGAAAAGCAGAATATGTGAAAGCCCTGAAGCTAGCAAAGGTCATTTATGCATTCCTGGCTGAAAATAGAGAACAGTGTAGGGGGTTTTGGATCAGGACTCCCACATTTGCCCTGAGACCTGTAGAATCCACAGGCTTCATTTAATTTCATTTGCTCTGGGGTTTGCTGAGGACAAGCCTGTTTGACTCAAAAGTACAGAATGCTGACATGTTTAGCCTGCAGTATCCCTTTCTAGATATGGACTCACCTTTGGCAGTTATTCTGACCCTGCTCTGCTTACTCAAAATTGAATGGTGAGAGCCCAGATTTATTTTTTCTAAGGACCTATGTGTCATGCAAAAATGAGTTTTAATTGAGAGCATTACAGATGGACCATGTTGCTGTATTGGAATCCCAATCAGTTTCTTTTTGTTTTAAAATAGATGGTTAACTCATTTTACAGGTAATTAAGGACATCATTTTTTGATCAGTTGATGTGACCTTTATACAGCTAACCTTGGCATTATATACTTTTTTGCATGGTGAGAATATTTATTCTCCCTACTAAAAAGCATTGACATGTTATTGCCTTGCCCAAATTTTCTTAAGAGAAGCAGCAATTTATTATTTTGATTATGATTTTAGTTTTACAAAGATTGGACTTATAATACAAGTTTTGAATGTACTGGTAAATCGTCCAAGAAAATTTACCACTGAAGCATGTTAAAAAGTCAGACATTTATTTAATTTTTAAAGACACACTTTTATAGTTTTTTTAATGACAAATGATTGTGTGTGTGTATATATATATAACCATGTGATGTTTCCATACATATATACTTTATGGAATGATGAAATTAGGCTAATTAGTATATTACTTCAAGTATTTGTCATTTAATTTTGGTGAGAATTTAAAATCCTCTCATGGCTATTTTGAAATACACAAGACATTAGTGTTCATTGTAGTCACCTTGATGTGCATTAGAACACCAAACTTACTCCTTCTCCCTACCTGTAACTTTGTACCTGTTGACCAATGTAAGGACACATTTTTAATTGACCCGTATTCTTTCAGTACCATGAAATGAAATATTCTGATTCAATATTGAATATAACACATTCATCCTGTTATTGAATATTGTATTAGTTTTCTGTTGCTGCATAACAAATGACCACAACCTTGGTTACCTAAAACAATATACATTTATTATCTCAAGGTTTTCAGGAGTCAGGAGTCCAGGAATAGCTTAGTGGATCCTCTGTCTGGGGGTTCAACAGGCTGTGATATGGTTTGGCTGTGTCCCTACCCAAATCTCATCTTGAATTGTAACTCCCATAATTCCCACATGTTATGGGAAGGACCCGGTGGGAGATAATTGAATCATGAGGGTGGTTTCCCCATAATGTTCTCATGGTAGTGAATAAGTCTCACGAGATCTGATGGTATTCTAAGGGAAACACCTTTTGCTTGCTTCACATTCTCTCTTGCCTGCTGCCATGTAAGACGTGATTTTGCTCCTCCTTTACCTTCTGCCATAAGTGTGAGGCCTCCCCAGCTGAGTAGAACTGTGAGTCCATTAAACCTCTTTTTCTTTATAAATTATGCGGTTACGGGTATGTCTTTACTAGCAGCTTGAGAACAGACTACTACAGGCTGCAATTAAGGTTTTGAATGGTTTGAGTTCTCGTTGATGTACTCAACTCAGAAAAATTCACACCTAAGATCATTTATGGCATTAGCAGAATTTATTCCCTGTGGCTCTAAGACTGATGGCCCTGTCTTTTAGCTGTCTGTTGGCTGGAGGCCACCTTTAGGACTTGAGGCCACCCACTAGTCTTAGAGGCTAAGGGCAGTTTAGACACTGCCCACAGCAAGAACTGTGGGCTTCCTCAGCAGGGCTGCTCACATCATCAAACTGGCAAAGATAATCTCCGTAGTTTCTCCTAGCAAGATGGAAAGTTACAGATGTAAATACAGACATATACACGTATGTGTGTGAAAATGTGTGGCTGTTTATCATAATCCTGGCCCTGACATTCTTGCCTTGACATAATCCTTGGCTTTCTATCACCTCTGCCATCCTCTGTGGGTTAGAAGCAAGGCCCAGGTCCCCGTGGACACGCAGTGTGGAGGGGTTGGGGCGTAGGTTCTGCTATGTTTTATGTTGTGCAGAGCATTACGTTTTTAAGTTGAAAACATATTGCAATTTTGGTGTTGGTTTTTGTGCATTTGTGTGACTTGAAATGAAGAGTTCTAACACTTGATGGCAGTAGTAGCTCATTCAAAATATAGTCAGCAACAGTTCCTATACAAAACAAACTGAGAAGTAAACACCTCATTTTTGTGTTTTATCATAAATTCAACTTTTAAACAATTCCAGGTTGCAATATTAATTACCTTTTATTCTTGTGCGTAGAATTGGGTGCTTTTATTTATTATACTTGAGCATTTTTCAATTGACTTTGAAAAAGCAAACCTCTGCCAATTAAACTTGTAAATAAAATTCTTCAGAGAGAAGTTGGATATGCCCAATCCAGTCAGATAAATTAAATTCAACAAATATTTTTTAGATCCATCTATGTCACTAATACAGTGCTATGTGATACAAAAATAATGCATGTTTGCTTAAAGTAGTTTTAAAGTATAATGTATTCTGCGGCAGTAGTATGCAGTGTTCATTTTTTTCTTGGCAAATAACCTGTAATATTTAGAGAAAAATAAACATATATAGCCATTGAATAGAAGAAAAAACAATTTGATGCTTAAAAATATATGTTCTGTCAGGCTTGCCTTTTCCTATTGCTGACATCCACGCAACAGGATTTTAAAACCAAAGGGTCAACGCCATCTTGTGGTCACAAAGTCTGAGTACAAAGTATTAAGCCTTTCTAGCTTTTCAAAGGTGGGATAGAGATTCAAAGGGACATATTGCTTTCTCTTAACAATTTGGGAAATTTTGGGGTTAGTTTGCAGATTTTTGAGGTGTGTTGTGCATCAGGGAACACCATTGTGGTTTTTTTCCATTTATAAATCCTCGAGTCATTTTAAGCAAATTTTGAAGAGGTAGTTAACTTTGTGATGACAAAGACAATATTTCTATAGATTCAGAGAAATAAGAAATGCCAGTTTTACAAATCATAGTACTATGTGTAGGTATTATTTCCTACCACCTTTTGAAGTTATTATTGATCCTATAACAGTTCAAGATTTGCAGAGGATTAACACAGCATGTTGTAGTTATCACATCTGAAAACTCTGAACACTCAGAAATACTTAGATGGGAATTGTTAGCCTGCTCACGTTTGCTTATAAGTAGTTTTAAAGTATAATGTATTCTGGGGCAGTAGGATGCAGTGTTCATTTTTTTCTTGGCAAATTAACCTGTAATGTTTAGAGAAAAATAAACATATATAAC